CATGCTGGCTCCTCCCCAGAGTCAGAGGCTTCTGACGGGACGATGGCTGGTTCCCCGGACTCAGCTAGGGCAGGGTGTAGAGGTGGGGGCAAGGGAACCTGCAATGCATGGCTCCGTTTCTGAAGAGCGGGAGTGGGCAGCCGCCAGGCGTTTGGGGACACATCTTGCCTTTCTTGTTCCCATGACTACCAGGGAGAAAGGGGAAAGGGTCAGATTTCCAGAGCCAGGGGAGGGGCAGAGAAGCCCTCGCTGAGCGGGAGATAAAGTCCTCCTGGCCCAATGTGACATGAGGTGGACACTCAAGACCACGAATTCAGGACAATGTTTAGCTCTCACTGGGGGCTTTTGAGATCACTGCTCCCCCCTGCAAGATCACAGCTGTAGATTCAGTCCTCAGTCCTATGGGGAGCCCAGTGTAGGGCAGAGAGGAGCAGGGAGCCAGGATCCAGGCCCAGGGATACCCCAGGGAGAGCATTATGGGAGGGTGGCAGGGTGAGATGACACGGTGGCGCTCCTGTAGTAATGAGATCTTGTGTATGAATCTGGTCTCACCCTGAATATGTGATCACTAGGAGGTGTGAAGCCCAGCCCCACTCCCGACCCTACATGGCCTTTCTGGAAATACAAGATGGAGATGAAAATTACACCTCCAGTGGGTTCCTGGTGGCGGAGAAGTTTGTGCTGACGGCCGCTCACTGCCGGGGAGAGTAAGTGCCTCTGGGATGGGCCATGGGGACAGGTGGGGTGAGCTGGGAGTACGGGCAGGAGGTGGTCAGGCTGGGGAAGCAGAGCCCAGGGTTCTGACCTGCTTAGGGGGTGTCAGCGAGTCTCTAGGGGCCTCTAAACCCCACAGCCCAGCCCCAGCAATGGGTACATCAATGCGACTGCGGGCAGGGAGCCCACCTGGGGTTTGGCCCCTTGCCCGGTGTGGGGCAGGGAAAGGTCACAGCCCCAGGGCAGCTCTGCAGGGCACGAGACTGAGGGGCTGGACATTGACCCATCTGTGGATCCAGCTGGGAGTGAGACAGAGACACAGGGGGCCTGAGACCCAGGGGCCATGGGGGCAGCGGGGAGGGAAGCTCAGGGCAGCAGCACAAGGGGCTGGTGGTGACAGAAGTTGGGATCCCAACCCCACTGGGCAGGGGCTTTGTGCTTCTGCTGCCCCCCGAAGAGAAACACTCCTGGTGCCTCCTCCCACCTCTTGCACAGCTCACAAAGCGCCCAGGAGCCACGGATCTTCCTTCATGTCAGACACTGACTCTGAGATCTTGGCCTGAAGTCCCCAGGCTGCCCTGTGCCCCCCACATCACCGTGCAAGAGTGGGAACCTCGTGTGCTCATCCCCCTCGGCACGTCCCATCCTGCCCCCAACGGCCCATGCGTAGCTCTTGGCCTTTACAGCAAGATCGCCGTCATCCTTGGAGCCCACGACGTCACAAAACAGGAACCGAGTCAACAACGCATCCGTGTGCGCCGGCAGATCCCCCACCCGCAGTACGACAGAGAGAACTTAAAAAATGACATCATGCTGCTGCAGGTACCACCCCATCCCATCCCCCACCCCCAGTGACCTCACACTGCTGCAGGTACCACCCCATCCCATCCCCCACCCCCAGTGACCTCACACTGCTGCAGGTACCACCCCATCCCATCCCCCACCCCCAGTGACCTCACACTGCTGCAGGTACCACCCCATCCCATCCCCCACCCCCAGTGACCTCACACTGCTGCAGGTACCACCCCATCCCATCCCCCACCCCCAGTGACCTCACACTGCTGCAGGTACCGCCCCATCCCATCTCCTACCCTCATCTAGAAACAAATGTCTGTGGGAGGTTTTGCTGGGGAAGACATTCATCCCTTTTCCCTTTAGTGCAACTCTGAGATTAATATTCATCCTTCCCGTGTGACAGCTGGAGAAGCCTGCAAAGCTCAATGGATTTGTGAAAACCATCCCCCTGCCAGAGCCCGGTGAAAGGGTGGAGCCCGGGACTGCGTGCAGTGTCGCTGGCTGGGGTCGCACGATTGGTGCTTCCAATGTGCTGCAGGAGGTGGACGTGGAGGTGCTGGAGGATGACGAGTGTTTGAAGTATGATTACTATGACCCGGCGACCATGCTGAGTGCGAGGCACCCACAGAAGTGCAGAGACACTGCAAGGGTAAATCTCCTCTTGGCTTGAAGCTCTTCGTGCATGGCCACTCCGAGGCAGTGTGTCAGGCTGGGACAAGTGGGCTGGGCTTGGGAGTGGCCAAGGAGGGGCTGGGTGGCATCAGGGTGTCACTGAGCCGGGCATCGACGGGGAAACGACTCCCTGAGCCATTTTCCATCCCTGTCCTGGTTTGCTCTGCAGGGCGACTCCGGCGGCCCCCTGGTGTGTGATGGAAAAGCCCAGGGCATCGTCTCCCGGGTATCAGACCCTGGGATAACCTCTGGCATGTACATGAGAGTCTCCGCCTTCATCGATTGGATCCGGAATGCAATGC